GCCAGCTGCTGAGGTCTTTAGTGTGTGTGTGTGTGTGTGCATTTGTGTGCGTGTGAGTTTGTATGTCACAAAGTTGTTATTGATGGAACTCCTACCTGCTTGGCAGGTTTATTTAATCTTAGCCAAAAGTTGTGGCTGCTGTGTGGGTATGAGAGTTAGTGTGTGACAGAAAGTAAGGGTTTATGTGTAATTTGTTTTTTCTGTGTGCGGGAGCATGACACACAAGCATATCAGTCAGATAATTTACTATTTATGTGCAAGTACAAGTTCAACAAACTGCACATGCTAGGTCACACAACACTCTTCGTGTCATCCTGTAGCAGCATGAAGTTAGATGCAGTTGGTTGTCTGGCTGTCTAGTTTTAAAACAGACTGATTCTGCTGACTGCAAGATAGGCACGCAGACAGACACACACTCACTCAGACACACATAAGCATTAAAGTGCTTTTCTTGGTGAGGAAGCAGAAGCAGCTTTAGGGAGTTTTAACAGCAGGAGGTGAGCTGTCAGGGATTTTAAACCTTCCATGTGTCAGAAAGGGCAAAGACTGTGTGTGTGCGTATAAAGACACTAGAAGTGCCTGACCAGCCTACAGGAGATGAATATCTATATGCTGTATTCACACGAGGAAGCCTTCTTCCTGAAAATACCATTCACCTCACTTGTCACATTGTAAATGTTACTAAGCAATGATCTTCTTCTCTGAAACGTTGTGAATTCTGACGTCACCGGCAAACACGTGAAATCAGCTCTAAGAAATTATACTTAAGTAGTATAACCAAGAGAATAAATTATTTTGTTTTTATGATAGGAACTTAGACAGATCAAGCATGTTTTCATATGAGAAATAAATGACTGCAATAAGCCAATCCACCCATGTTGATGGATTTGTTATTGGTGATTTGAAGTATTTTAGCTGTGCAACATAAATGTCTGCTTCTGCGAGTATTCAAACATTTTCTAGAGGAAAGTAGTGAAAGGCTAAAATACATTGAGAGGGAATTTGATGCATGTCATGTTTAATTACCATGTGCAACCACATTCCCCGCTACCCAAGCACACACTAGTAACATTTCGTGGCAATTCTAATCACATGCTGAATATGAAAATGTTTCTAACGGCATTAATAAGCATGTAGATCTCAACAGCAGTTTCATTCAAACCTAAACAGACCTAATCGCAGACAAAAGAAAAGGATTTCTCACCACTTAATTTATAAAAATGCAGGACTTTTAAGACAAACTTTAAAAAAGTAGCAGGAATTCCAATCATGTCAAATTTTTCCTTTAAAAAGTCATAGTAGCACAAACCTTTTCATTTGTAGTTAAAATTACTGTGTCTGGTTTCCACAAAGACATTAACCTACATGTATCATCACAAATGTGTGTGAAGTAAAAAAAAAAGCTAATCAGAATTCAGTAAAGCTGTCATAAATTGTCAGTGGTCAACTGTCATGGTTTCCAACTGCTTCAAAAGAGCAAATACTTTCAAAGGCAATCCTTAGGTTGTACAAACAGCTTTTCCATTCTTGTCTCACTGCCAAGTCTTCAAATACAGCTGCTTGGTCAGTGGCCTTCTGCTTCAAAATATGAAGCTGTGGGGCGCCCTAAAGCTCACCTGGTAGAGCTGTCACCCCATGACAGAGGCTGAGTCCTTGCTGCCATGGCCATGAGTTCAAATCCAACCTGTGGCCCTTTGCTGCATGTCATCCCCTTCAATCATTAGCTGTCCTATCCAATAAAGGCAGAAAGCCGAAAATATATATTTAAAAAAAACAAAAGCAGAAGCTGTAGCTATCCCTCTAGCATTTCTGAACTTGCCTGCCATCAAAGACAGGTGATGTAGTAGAAAACGTTGCATATGGAGGTAGTAAGATAGATGGATGGGTCAAACAAACACAGGACATTAACCCAGCCGACCGCTGTTCCTCTCCCATTTCCTGAGGAAGTTAATCAATTATGAAAAACAGTTAATTAAATTGCAGCATGACTATTGCGAGGACCTCATTGTGACACCTTGGAGCCAGAAAAATTATTGTGTTCTCTCTTTGTGTTCCAGCGCTGAGGAAATGTTCAGAGGACTTTTTAGTGCTGGCCGCTGGCAACTGAACCTTTGTTGCTTTGTGACAAGACTAAAAATGAGACAATTTTAAATCCGAACAAGAGAGAAACACAAATGTTCACAGCTACAACTACTACATTTTGCATTTAACCTGCTCTGAACTCCAATCGTTGCTCATAATCTTGGTGCTCACCTCACACTGAAAAAACTGGTACTTTGAATCAACCTTCTTGAACAATCAAAGGTTTTCACTCTAGAAGCAAGGTAATGGTGGACAGCCAAACTCAAAGCAGAGTGACCTGATGTGACGTTATGGTGTTATTTGACATGAAAACCTCTGGTTTGAAGTGAAAAAAAAGTGAGTAAAAGTTTTGCAGGAAACCATGATTTTCCATTAGACAAATATAAAGATGTACTATGTTAGATGTACTAAATAAATGATACAGTTGTTTCACTTTTGTTGTTTTCACCAACGACACTGCCCATTTTTCAGTACACACGATCCTTATATCTGTACTCGGCCTTTATTCAAATAGCAGCTAAGTCCTTCTTCGTCTTTTAATTGAACATGATTTTTTGATGATTCCTTTTATGTCACTGATTTTTTTTTGTCAATCTGAGCCCTATGCTCAATTTGTATTTGAGTTTTTAGAGTTTCTGTCAGAACTGGTGACACAAACGGCCAATACTGTAATCACAGGGAATTTTAATACTCATGTGAAAAATGTATTGGACCCACTTCACAAGGCCTCATTAATTGATACGTAAGTTTTTGTTCAGCTTGTTCACAACCCTACCAACTGAATGTCTTTTCATCCTCGGTTTAACTATCTCTTGGGTCCACCGTCTCTGAATGACCACGCTTTTATCCCATTACATGTAAAATTTAGACTGAATTAGGAATACACCAGCCCACATAATGCCTCCACCATCACCTCTCTCACTGAGCAACTGCCGATCAATCTTTCCACTCTTACTGGTTATATTGGCAACCCCTGACAGACTCATTTATTTTGATCTGACCAGTATGATTGATTCAATAGCTCATCTAAAAACCAAAAGACTCCTACACAGCAAATTTGTGCCATGTCAAAACTTAAAGCACAAATGGAAATAGTACACTGTGTGTTAGGACAACAACAAAAATGAATTGTTAATGACCATTAAAGCTTGAATGCACATTGATCACCTAAATTCCAGATCTTCCAATAACTAACCTTGGGCTTCCCCCTAATAGTCAACTTAATTGTTAGCCGCTGAGAAGAGTCTTAGTAACCCAGTTTTCATTAATTGGAGAAACAAAACAAAAACTTGTTTGGTAGCTGCGCCTTGTCACCAGGATAAAAGTATCTGAGGATTGTTGCAACACAGACCATTTCTCTTGTAATGGTTTGTTCACACCCTTCATGTCTGCGTGGCATGTGCATGGTGGAACGTCTTGATTTTTATTCAGTTGCCCATTCTAACAGATTAGAGCGGTCACATTGCCCAGTCTCAACTGTGTCTGCAGTGACGCTTCACTAGAGACTCGAGGTCTTGCCTTTTTTTTACCGCGAAAGGGATGTTTAAACATTAGTGAAATATGTGGATATGACAGATCCTTTCACTGTGCTCTTTTGCTGGGAGACGCACGTCGCTCGTGAAAAAAATAGACGGGGCCTTGTGTGAATCGTCACATGGGCAGTGTGACCGCTCTAATCTGTTAACATGGGCGCAGAAATAAAAAACAAGATGTTAAGCCACACACATGCCACGCACACATGGGTGGTGTGTACAAGCTGTAACTGTTAACATTATACATCATCAACATAACGATAAATCCGCAAGTATTTGTTTTTGTTAAGTTGTGTGATGTTATACTGTGTTGAAATAACTAAATGTTCAGTCTTCTTGCTGGTTGTTCTGACACATTTAGAATCATTAAGAGATAAGAGATAAGATGTTCCTTTATTGATCCCCCATAGGATAAATTCCAATAATTACAGCTTTTGGTAATCATTTAACAGGCAGCTGTTAAAATATATATTTAAATAATTAAATCAATTATCAGCCCAAAACTAACCCTATAACCCAAACTGACTACATTATATTATTTATTTCTGTTTGTCTACATGTGTGTGTTTCTTACTTTATGCCTTTTGATCCTATATTTGCTTGTTTGTTTGCTTTTGTGAGTCTCATGACTTTTGTATCTGCTTATGATGCTTATTTATGTGAGATTCCTTCTAGAAGCCTCCAGGGGTTTAAAATCTCACCTGTACAATTTGCATCTTTTCTTTTGTTGTGGTGTTCCAGCTGTTTTGTGTTATTGTGCTAATAAATTAATAAATAAATGTTAAAAACTTTTGTTCTTATTGTATGAGTCTCATAATCAGCTGAAATTCTGACACTCCACTGCAAAATTATTTCCCTCCAGATTTGGTTATTGTAATTTCCCTTTTCTTCCTCACTCATTCACCAAAATGAGAACACTTGAGAACACTGCTGTTATAATCATAAGCAGAACCAAGAGATTCACACTCTTGATCTTTATCCACTGGTCAACCATGAATATCTTTTAATTCATTTTCTTAGACTTTTTTTAAGTTATTGAGTTCCACAAGAATATGTCATAAAATATATGTCATATGTCCTCTGAGTGACATCTTCCGTAGGACACTGGGCCCTCGCTAATCCAATAAGAGCTTGGAAAAATGATTTAGTTGAGCAAACAGCACGGCTGTCAGCCTCAGTGAGATACACTAATGGAAACAGATAGCATTTAGTTTAGTAAACAAAAGGAGGTTAAATACATTTAGGAATTCAAGCACAAACAAAGCAATATAACTGACTGTCTTGGAGAAATGATCTGATTTGGAGGTTGTTTTCGAAAGAAAATGTTTACTGCCAATGTAGTATGTGTAGACATGTCTTTGTATGGTGTGTGTATGTGTGTCTTACCCACGGTTAGCTGACCGGTCAGTTGTCCCTGATCATTCCTAGCATTGACAGTGACATTTCTGTCGGACTGGAGGATCAATGGACTGTCCTAAAAAGAGAGGGACAGGGGGAAGGATGATTAAAACAACAGAGAATTTTATAATATTTCTCGTACTCTCACAAACAAATCCATGTATACAGATATACCTTAAGTTTTCATACTCATACACAAGCTCTCTGTTTTCTTTTTATCCCCTGTAGCTATTACCCTCACCCCTCTGCGCACCAGTCAATACTGCATTAACCTGCATAACCAATACTGCCTTAGCCCGTATCAACCTTCACAGTTTACACTTGACTCCCTCTCTTTTGCCAGTCTGACACACTCTGCATTTAATTTGCATAATCTATTCAAAACAGCATCCTGTCTGTGAGTGTGTTTGCTTGTGTCCAACACTGTGTCTGTGTGTGTGTGTCTGTGTCAATGTCTGCAAAAAGGCAATTATTCTCACTCTAAATGAGCTAAATGCAACTGTGACCCTGACCTCTGCTCTCCTCTTTAGAGTCTGATAGAGCCACACGCTGCCCACATTAGTTTACATTCGGTGAATGTGTGTTGCAATGAATGCAAACTCCGTGTCTGCCATTTTCATTAAGTTCCAAACTCAATCTAACATCTCACTGTCTAACTCTCTATCCACCGCCTTCCTCCCTTGTGTTTCTCTCTCTCTCTTTCCACTGTGTACCCCGGTCTGCAAAATCACGCTACTCACATTCTTAACCAACTTTTCCTTCTGTTCTCCTTCCCTCTTTCATTATATCTCTGAACTTACATAATTTTCTTTTTATTCTCTTTCCCTTCACTTCTCTCCGTTTCTCTTTTAAATTGCTTATTTGTTTTGGCGGCGTGAAATGAACAGCTCACAGGTGACCCAATTTCTCTGTTGATTTCCCCAAATTAATATCTTGCTGCATTCCAGTCTGAATTCCAAATGAGAATTGTGTTAAAATTGGAAAGTCGTTGATCCGTTGAAATGGAAAAATCCCCCCCCCTTCACTCTCACTCTCCCTGTCTCACCCCTCTCTCTCTCTCTCTGTTGCTATTTGTTATGGATGGATATTCATTGCTTTTTGCTCTGCCTACCTGAGTTGAGACCAAATTTATAATATGTCACACCTGTCTGTGTTTTATTTTGGAGCGTCCAGAGACTTCTAGGATGGGGCTGATCACAAACTCAAACACGAACCACCACACAAGCGTGAGGGACAAAGACAAAGTTATAGATGCATGTGTGCAAAACACACACACACACAAAAAGCATACACAAACAAAACACAAGGAGCTCACACACTAACATCCAAATGAGTGCTCAGGTGCAAGTTACACCCCTCCGCCTCTGTGCACATACACACAACACACACACCACCCACTCATACAGTCAGGTAACAAATTTGCCAAACAACAAATGAGTCCTCCACACGGTTTATTGTGCATTGACGCTCTCCTCTGTTTCCTAACGCATGTGTGCTGAATTAATTATTTTCAACGGGGCGTGTGATAGGCTTCACTATATTATCTTTCCACTCTGTTTAAAGCGATGGGCGCTTTGTAAAGCATGACAGATGTAATGTGCTTTGAATCATTCCAGCTCAATGGGCAGTGTGCATGAACAGGCCTGATCCCATTCACTTAGTGCAGGACTCTATCATTTAGAAGTGCAACCATAGATGAAGAATCTTACTTGATTAAGCACTACTCATATGCAAATGCATGGAAAGATGGGCTGTATTTCAAATAATTGCTGCATATTAAACAGCTGCTAATGTCTATTTACACAACAGCTGATTGAAGCCAAACAATCTGATTGGTGCTGTGTATGTGAGATGTATACCAGCAGGTAACAATAATGGCTAGTCCTTCTTGATGAGAAAATTGTCTACCAAGAGGTTATATCAACAGTAATAGTAGTTCACACTATCAAGTGCAAAATGAAAAGGTTCTTATCACCTTGGTTACCAGGTGATCAGATCAGAATATACGTCATCACACAAAACCGTTGGGTGGTTCCTGTGCTTGTTTAAGTTACCCTGATGAAATCCATTCAGACGTTGCACATTCTGTTGGTAATGTTTTTGTTGAATTGTCAAGTGTGCTGCAATTTGTAGTGTTTGCTATGATTATGGAAAACGTAGAGATGTGGAGAGCTTTTATGATGCATACTCTGCCTCAATCAATGCCCAACTATGCTGGGTGCTATCTATAGTTCAGGAGAATGGGCCATAGACACTAGCTTCATATATTAAATATATAATTAAATACATTGATTGATAAAAAATGAATGCACTTTGTGTAGTTTGACAAACATACACATTCATCACGATAAAAAAAGACTTAGTTCGGTCCCATGTGTTCATTTAGCTATAAATGCTACACAAACAAGTTTTGTAAGACATTGATAAAACTGACCACAATATATTAATTTGTCCATCCATACATGTTATGTATAACCTATTCAGCTAGTTTGTGGCACTAACGGTTCATTTCTCTCCATGAAACTCCTCCTTTAAAGCTCTTATCTTCAGTGGAGTTTGCATTATGTTTGATGTTTTCTCATTTCAATATTAGTTTGATGTCGGTTGTGCTGGATCCCAAAAAAGGTTTTTGCACTGTAGAATGGTAATCATTTCTTAGATATCCATTTGGTGATGCATACATCATCTTTAACATTGTTTGATGTTAGAAATCCAATCGGTGTTTGAATCCTAGTACACTCTGGGAAGTGTGTGTTTGTGTGTGTGTGTGCGCGTGTGTTACTAGCCTATGTGTTTGGTTTTTCTTGCTATTTGCATTGAAATTGACGCTTACTGCTGATACATGACAATATGGCACTGCCACTTTTTCATGCCAGTTGCAGACACCAGCTGCCCTACAAACACACACTCTTACTGACTGACTGCCAACAGATTTTCCTGTGGCCAATTTACAGCAGCCGCACAATGATTAGAGATCGGTCCACCTCGGATAAGCTTCAACACCATCCAAAACCACATTTACACACAATAATTATGCATAAGCGCACTGATTAAACAATACAATATGAAAGTTCCCAATAGCATTTCCACACAGCACATATTTTTACATCAGCTAGTCTATGCATCACAGCAATATAATTCAGGTCTACAGACAGAAATATCCCATAAAACTATCTAATTTGGGACATTTGTTCATTGGTCTAGATGCGTTACATTTGGATTAGACAAGCTTCATAGACCAAATTGGCTGTTGCAGAATCAAGTAGTAGTAAGATTTAAAATGAGGGTAGGTAATTTATTTCAGAAGCATTTTTGTTATATATTTTTTTAAATTCTCTTTACATCCTGACAGCAATTGCTGACTCACCTGACCTGTTTTTACCTATCTACTTGCCAACTTGAGCGCACTCAGACAAGTGGGTTTTGGGGGAGTGGCTCTAGAGGGAGGCCTGAAGTTGGATAGTTTCAAAATCAATCAATTCAATCAATTCAATTTATTGTCCTCCTAGGGGGAAACTTATGTTCACATCACTGCACCTGCAGTCAACACCATACACTCAACAAAGAAACACGCTATCCACAATTAACAAATCTACAGAACAAAACAAAACAGAAAACAAACAAACAATCAAATAAATAATACATGACCGGTTACACACTCAGCGTGCCCCTTTGTTTAAAGCAGCAATAGCTGCAGGGATCAGGCTTTTCCCATAGCGAGCTTTCTTGCACCTCAATGTCTGGTACCTTCGCCCAGAAGGCAGTGGGGTGAGATATTGATTGAGTGGGTGTGTAATGTCCAGTTCTATTGTGGTTGCAATGCGTGAGATGGCCCTGTTGTTTAGTTCTGTGAGATTGGGTGTGGGGAGTCCGATTATCTAGGCCGCTGTGTTGGTGATGCGTATGAATTTTGTCCAGTTGGTGACAGTTAGCATGTTGTAAAAACAGGAGGAGCAGTATATGAGGTTGGGCTGGATGATACTTTGATATAGTAGTAGGAGAAGATGGGGGGAAACATAAAGTCCTTTGAGTTTACGGATGACAGATAGTCTTTGCTGGCTCCTTTTGAAGATGTCAGTGGTGTGTTGCTGTCTCTTGCTAGTTTTTCCACCGTCGCAAACCTCAGGTGTAAGGAAGGGGTATGCTCCAAAAGAACTAGTTCATATGATACAGGGAAAAAAAGTGTTTATGGCCTTTCCAAAAGGCTACACTGAAAGACTGAAAAGCTGGTTGTCATAGAGAGGGACAAAACACAATGCAAATTTTAAATATGGGAATAGTGCAATATTCAAATCCTTGAAATACATACAGTAACAGCAGTGGTACTGGTGGTATTTACGGATAATACATTTTCAAAAATATGGTTTGGTGAGCTCATGTACTATTTCCTCACATGTACCATACATCACTTGTGATGTTTACTTTATGCTCAGTTCACTTCTCTGTTTATCTCCCTCTCTCGCTCTCTGCATTGTCCCTCTGGCTTTTGAGTTAAGTGTCTTGCTCATAAATCTCCCCTCATCGTGTGAAATGTGCACAGAGGCACAAATAAAGGCACACACATCATGCTCTCTCTTGTGAGCTGACACAACATACACCACAGCGCCATTAATTCAGTTAATAGTTTAATTTCACTCTGATTATAAATACAGGCACAGTGATGCCAGCCTGAGGTAGCCAGTGTAATTAGTCAGGTAATAATAAGCTGTGGACTGGTGGCTCATCATCGCAGCCTCCAGCCACCAGTACAGATGGGTCCTAAAAACAGCTTTCAGCTTGCCTGTCGCACTGGCTGTCTCACTGCTTTAACTGACTGCCTGTCTGACAGCTTAAATAGGTCTGGACTGAAGGTTCATAAGTGATGTGATTGGTTATTTGTGTTTAGTCATCGCTCCGATAACAGCTTTCAGCTCTCTTGTCTGTCTCTTATGTCTCACTAGCCGTCTAACTTCATACAGTATCCATCGCAACAGCAATGTACTCAGGCCTCATACAAGATACATTTGGTTGATTCATCTTCTCCATCAACCTAATAACAGCTTTTAGCTCTCCTGACTATATCTCTGTGATTGCCTG